ATCCAAGAGCTACAGAGATACTTTCCATAGTCCAAAGTAGATGGCAGCAGAAAGATGGGTTGACATAGGTGTATTTCAACGATGGATGTTGCAAAGTGGTTTCAGACAAATTACAGTGGATGTGAGGATGTTGCAGAACAGAAAAGCATGGCATACCCTGATAGCAGATCTCCTGATAGGAGCAGCAACAAGCAGCACCAGCAAAAGGTGATAAAGGAATGAGTGATAGTTGACCTTTTGTAGAAGTCAACTTCTAACGTTTCACTCAAAATTTCTGAATTTTCATAGCTCTCTTGCATAAGTTGAGCCCTACCTTTCGGCCAAAAATCCAAACACTTCCTATTTATCACCAACTATCTGTTGAAGTCAAACTTGTGCTGCAGAAGGGTAGAATGGCACACTATTGAAGGCATCTGTTCAGCTTTTCATGGCTGTCAAGGTTACCATCTCATTGGTACGTGCAGAGTTCCTACCAGACTCACTATTGGATTGAGTTATTTTTCTCAAATTTTGAGAATATTCAATTATATTTTTGTTCGTGGCCATATGACAATATGGCATGAAGAAGGAACGGCAGGTATACAGTCCAGATCAGAATTAAAGTCTTACGATTGGAGATCTGACACCGTGCAGCAGTTAAAGAATTGAAGATATCAAAGATGGACATAGAGATTGGAGGTGGCTCACTACACAACTTAGGCAGATGCTTAACGATAAGTGTGCAAATAGAAGAAAGCCTAGCATATAATGACAGGGGAAAACAAAGTTTCAAAATACATCATGAAAATACCAGAATTGTCCAACCAGACATAGCTTAAGTCAATGGTGATACTGTAGACAAAAAACATCCCAAAACAGCAGTTCCCAAAAGGAGCAGTATTCCACATTTACAACAAATGATGGATCGATCAGGGAAGCTTGAAAATATGACTTAGGAAAGATTGCAGTTTCCAGCCAGGAATATTACAAAATAAGAAAAATCTTCTCATACAAAACATGCTCAGATCATATCTGTCAAAGAAGCTATTCCTGAAGCTAGATCACAAAACAGTGATATTGCTGATAGTCTAAACAATCTTGTTCAAGCATGAATATCTCTATAAACATGTCCTTCAAGGATAACATGAGAGAAAAGTGGAGTAACTGCAAAATCAGAGGAGAAAGACATTCACCGAAGGAGGTAGCATATGTGCTCTGATGCTACCGGTCCAGTGTGAGTGGGCTGTAGAAGCCTGGAGTGAAATCAGAATGGAGACTGTCATAAAATCATTCAAGACTTGCAGGATATCAAATGTGCTTGATGGGACAGGAGTGATTATTATAAGGCCAATGCTGACAGGATTGTTGATGGAGATGATCATGATGATGCAAACAATGATATAATTCAAGTCGCAGATTTGGATGAGCTACTTGGTTCTAACAGTGACGAGCAGGGTTTTATTTAAGGATTTTAATACAAAGTCAGCGCATGTTCTGTTGCTAAGTAGTGTCCTTTTCCAGAATGTGATTAAAACTGAATGAAATTGTATAAATTTGGATATGGCTTTTGTTTTTGATGAATTTGATAAATTTGAATTCAATATGTACAAATTAATCTGTGTGTCTGGAAGTTATTATTTTACAAATGAAAATTAAATAATAAAAATACTTTTTGACTCCTTTCATGTAGTTTTGAGGGTGGGATTGTCAAGAATGGTCTTTGATCTGGCAAATCCTCAATCTGCAGAGGAACCATTGTATTGTGTTCGATGTTTGAGAGGTATAGATAGGATGAATGCATATAATCTTATTTCCAGGAGTGGGGAATTGAAAACTAGAGAGCATAGGTTTCAGGTGAGAGGGGAAAGATTTCAAGACAAACCTGAGGGGCAACTTCTTCATGCAGAGAGATACATGGAAGTGGGCTGCCAGAGAAAGTGGTTCAGGCAGGTACAATAGCAACATTTAAAAAACATTTGGACAGGTACATAGATAGGAAGGGTTTAGAGGGATATGGACCAAATGCGAGCAATTGGAATTAACTGAGTAGGCACCATGGTCAGCATGGACCAGTTTGGGCCAAAGGGCCTGTTTCCATGCTGTATTACTTTATGACTCTATGACTCTATGTGGAGACGAATGGGAAAAGATGGATTTTAATCCCTTGAGTATATGGTTCATGTAACAGCCATCCCCTGACTCTTACTCATATATATGCAGTATTTCAAATGGCAGCATCTGCATAACTTTGCTTCCTGCTTCTGGGTAAATACAAGTGGTTGTTTAAGTATCTGGTATAGTCAGCCTGGTTAATATCAAGCAATAAAATCCATTCAAAAAGTCAAAAGAAAACTGCGCCACATCAGATGCTGCATCTCAACAGAAATACATATGTTTTTCAATTGACTGACTTCGGTCAGTGCCATATCTGCAGACTGACTGAAACAGCTCTTCTGCTGAATGAGATAACACAGTATGGAGCTGGAGGAACACAGCAAGCCAGGCAGCATCACAGGAGCAGGAAAACTGGCGTTTTCGTTCGGGACCCTTCTTCAGAAATGGGGAGGGAGCTCAGAAATAAATAAAGAGGAGGAGTGGGGAAGGTAGGTGGAATGGTGATGGGTGAATGCAGGTAGGGAATGGTGGGGATTGGTCAGTGAGGTGGAAGGGGCAGATAGGTGGGAAAGAAGATAGATAGGTTGTCAGGTCAAGGAGGCGGGGATGAGAGGGAGGGTTGGGCATGGGATGAGGCTGGGGGTGGGGATATTTTGAAACTAGTGAAATCCATGTTTAGGCCATTGGGCTGTAGGCTCCTGAGGCAGAATTTGAGGTGCTGCTCCTCCAGTTTGCAAGTGGAGTAATTGTGACACTGGGGGAGGCCCAGGATGGACATGTCACGCAGGGAGTGGGAGGGGGAGTTAAAACAGTTCACGACTGGAAGGTGTTGTTGTTTGTCGCATACAGAGCTCAGGTGCTCTACGAAATGGTCCGCAAGTCTCCACTTAGTCTCACCGATGTAGAGGAGGCCACATCAGGAGCAGCGGATGCAGTTGACCAAGTTGATGGATATGCAGGTGAATCCTTGTCTAATGTGAAAGGTTTGTTTTGTGCATTAAATGGAGGTGAGGGGGAGAGGTGTAGAGGCAGGTGTAGCACTTCCTGTGGGTGTTGGGAAAGGTGCCAGGGATGGTGGGGTTAGTGGCGAGTGTGGAGCGGACGAGGGAGCCGCGGAGAGAGTGGTCCTTACGAAAGGCAGATAGGAGTGGGGAGAGAAATATCTCTTTGGTTGTGGGGTCGGATTGTAGATTGCGAAAGTGGTGGAGAATGATATGTTGGATGCGGAGGTTGGTGGGGAGATATGTGAGGACAAGGGGAATTCTGTCTTTGTTTTTGTTGGGGGGAGGGGTTGTGAGGGCAGAGGTGCGGGAAACGCAAGAGATGCGGTTGAGTGCATTTTCGATCGCTGGAGGGGGAAAGTTACAGTCATTGAAATAGCAGGACTTCTGGAATGTGTGGGAGTGGAACGCCCCATCTTGGGAGCAGACGTGGCAGAGGCAGAGGAATTGGGAATAGGAGAATCGCATTCTCGCAGGAAGGTGGGCGAGACAAAGTGTAGTCCAGGTAGCTGTGGGAGTCAGTGGGTTTGAAATAGATGTCAATTTCCAGGCGGTCACCAGAGATGGAGACAGGGAGGTATCAGAGATGGTCCAGGTGAATTTGAGGTTGGAGTGAAAGGTGTTAGTAAAGTTGATGAACTGTTCAAGCTCCTCGTGGAAGCACAAGGCAGCATTAATGCAGTCATCAATGTAGCGGAGGAAGATGTGGGGAATAGTGCCAGTGTAGCAGAGGAAGAGGTGGAGGATAGTGCCAGTGTGACATTTTTTCTTCAGGCATTTAATGTCGCAACATACTTTGTAGTAAAGTTGTAGTAAAAACTGGTTTACATCCACAATTTTTGTTTTTCAGCTTCAACTCAGTTGGCTAGTGGCTAGTCTGTGATAAAGAGTGATATCAAAAGTGAGTTCAATTCCTGCACCAGCTGAGGTTGCCGTGAATGTTCTCTTTCTCAGCCTTTCCCTTGTCTGAGGCATGGTGAATCTCAGCTTAAATTACAACCAGTTATTTTTCTCTAATGAGAGAGCAACCCTATGGTCTGGTAAGACTATAGCAACTTTACCTTTACTTCTACAGCGCCTAGCATGGAATGAAAGGGGAAGATTGTGAGAGCAACTTAAAAAAAAAGAGCAAACATTTTACTAAGTGAAAATGCAGGAAAACAGACTATGTCAATTTTCATTCAATTTTCAGTGTCTGCCTTGTTAGGAAAACAATTCTCATCAATCACCATCGACCTGTTTATCTCATCTCCAGCAAACCAGCAGCAAAGCTACTGATAAGACAAAACATTTTGCACAGCAGCTGTTTAGATAATAATCACAATTAAAGAAATCAAATGCTTAAATAATGGTGACAATCATCAACTGAAAAAAAATGGAAGAAAGCATCTCTCACGTTATTGAGAGTGTTATAAAGGCAAACAAAAGCAGATCAAAATCAAAAGTCACATCGACTGGCTTTAAAAACATGACTGAACTGAAATTTCTGCCGTTACCAGTTTCATCAAGGGGCTGGATAATGTCAAAAGTTGCAAAATACCTTTTTTAGGCTGTCTCACGGCATTAGCTTTGCTATTTTATGTCCTTTTTAATGATACAGATCAATTTCCAATGCTATAAGTGACTGAGGCCTTTCCCAAAACTAAGCTTTGCCAAGTGACATTGCTAGTTTGAGAGCTCAACCACTGTGCCAGAGCCAAGAGGACAGATAGAATAGAATAGCATAGAACAGAACAGAATAGAATAAGGTTTATTGTCACATGTACTCAAGTTACAAAAGAACAGGAGTACAATGAAAAGTTTACAACGTCACCAACGCACAGTGCCATCTTTGTTACAAAGTTCCTAGGTACAAATCTTAGGTACAAAAAAATAGAGAAAATAAAAACAAGTTACACAACATCACAGTTCTACATAGTATAAGTTAGGGAAATAAGAAATAAAGCCAAAAAGATAGACATCACAGTCTTTCTATAACGGCTTCCATGAGGTCTAACTGGGATCTACCAGTTCCCAACCAGTAGCCATCTTCGGTCCGGGCCTGCCGGCCACCATCCCTGCTGAGCTCCGTGCCGCTGGCCGTTCTTGCTGTGCTCTGCGCCACTGGCCATCCCTGCTGTGCTCCGCAGCACTGGCCGTCTCTGCTTGACTCTGGGCCCTCCGGTTGTCATCCCTGCAATGCTCCAGGATGCTGGCCAGCCCCACTCTACTCTAGGCCTGCTAGCTGCCCCCGCTCCATTCGGGCCACTGACCACCGTGCCCACTCCATTCCTGGCCGCTGACCGCCGCCCCCACTCCATTCCGGGCCACTGACCGCCGCCCCTGCTCCGTTCCGGGCCACTGACCGCCGTGCCCACTCCGTTCCTGGCCACCGACTGCCGCCCCCGCTCCGTTCCTGGCCGCTGACCGCTGCTCCAGCTCCGTTCCTGGCCGCTGACCGCTGCTCCAGCTCCATTCTGGGCTGCTGACCACCGCCCTTGCTCTGTTCCAGGCCGCTGACCGCCGCTCCAGCTCCGTAGCTGGCCGCTGACCGCTGCCCCTGCTCCGTTCCGGGCTGCTGACCACCGCCCCTGCTCTGTTCCAGGCCGCTGACCGCCACCCCCACTCCATTCCTGGCCGCTGACCGCTGCTCCAGCTCCATTCCGGGCTGCTGACCACCGCCCCTGCTCCGTTCCAGGCTGCTGGCAGAAGAGGAAAAAGATACAAGAGAAAAACAACACAAGAGAAAGAAAAAAATGAGAAAGAGAAAGAAAAAGAAAACATATGGACGGAGCAGATAAGCTTCAGCTGTTGCGTCCTATTTCACCACCATCTTGGAATCTAGGCACATATACCATGGGCAACAGCTATCAAATACATCCTGTAAGGTCTGCCTACTGAGGAGAGTTCCAGTAACACCAAACATCACCGTAAGATTCTTACAGGCTCCTTTCTGACAGTGTTCCTGTATTCCATCCCACCTTAAAGATATTCTGCTCCCAATGCGTGGCGCTTTTGAACTGGCTACTGGGAAATTATTGATCACAGCCCAGATAAACTTACAAATGCTGACCATGTCTTCTAGATTTCTATCCCACAACAAACCAACTGAGGGTAAAACCCATTATTTGTGTAACTACATTTACAATGACCATTCTATCAACCTGAATCACACTGTTTCATTTTTAGAACAAAGAACAGCACAGCACAGCATCAGGCCCTTCGACTCACCAAGCCTGTACCGATACATGACGCCTTCTTAACCTAAAAACCTTCTGCCTTTACGGAGTCTGTATTCTGTTATTCCCTGCCTAATCATGTATCTGTCAAGATGCCGCTGAAATGTTGCTATTATATCTGCTTCCACCACCTCCTCTGGCAATGCATTCCAGGCACTTACCACCCTTTGTATCTCTTTTAAACTCTTGCATCTCCTTTAAACTTTTCCCTTTTTACCTTAAACCTATGTTCCCTAGTAATTGACATTTCTACCCTGGGAAAAAGATCCATTCTATCCATGCTTCTCATACTTTTGTAAACTAATCTTACGTTGCCATTCAACCTCTGACATTCAAATGAAAACAAACTGAGTTTGTCCAATTGCTCCTCTTAGCTAATACCTTCCAAACCAGGCAACATACTAGCAAACCTTTTCTGTCCCCTCTCCAAAGTCTCCACATCCTTCTGGTAGTCTGGCAACCAGAACTGTAAGCAATATTCCAAATCTAGCCTAATTAAGGCTCTGTACAGCTGCAACATGACTTGCCAATTTTTAAACTCCATGCCCCAACTAATGAAAGCAAGCATGCCATACGCCTTCTTACCACCTTACCCACTTGTGTTGCCACTTTCAGGGAACAGTGGATCTGTATGCCTAGTTCCTTCTGTATGTTGATGCTTCTAAGTGTTCTGTCATTTACTGTATACTTCCCTCCTGCATTAGAGACATAGAGCCATAGAGGTCGACAGCATGAAAACAGGCCCTTTGGCCCAACTTGCCCATGCTGCCCATTTTTCACAATTCAACTAGTCCCATTTGCCTGTTGTTTGGTCCATATCCCTCCATACCTATCCCATCCATGTACCTGTCTAAATGTTCCTTAAGTGACAAAATTGTGCTCACTTCTACCACTACCTCTGGCAGTCCGTTCTAGACACTCACCACCCTCTGTGTGCAAAAACTGCCCCCTCGACCCTTTTTGTATCTCTACCCTCTCACCTTAAACCTATGTCCTCTAGTTTTGGACTCTCCTATCATGGGAAAAGCTGTCTGCTTATCTACCTTATCTACACCTCTTATGATTTTATATATCTCTATAAGGTCATCCCTCAGTCTCCTACGCTCCACAGAAAAATGTCCCAGCCTAGCCAACCACTCCTTATACACAAACCTTTCAGTCCAGGTAGCATTCTAGTAAATTTCTAGTCTAATAATATCCTTTCTATAATGGGTGACTAGAACTGCATGCAGTTCCAAAATGCATCACATTGTATTTATTCAGATTAAATTCCATCTTCCATTTCTCCACCCAAGTCTCCAGCCTAAATAATCCATAATAAAATATTGTACATTGTATTCAACAAAATCCTTTCTACTACAGTGCTCCAAATGGACTTTTGCACATAACAGCATACCTTGAATAGGGCAAACATTTCAAGCATTATAATGTAAATATCCTGGCATCAATACCTCAAACTTTTAATACATTTGTGCAAGTCAAGCATTAAATTGAAAGAAAAAAGAATTGCACTAATATTGCATCTTGCACAAAATTAGTGTTGTTATGTAGGAAAGTATAATCATTAACCTAACGTAGGAAATGTGGCAGCCAATTTGCAAACAGCACTATCCGAACAACTGGAGACTGAACACAATCTGATTGCTGTAGAAGAGTCACTGGATTCAACACATTAACTATTTTTCTCTCTCTGCAAATGCAGCCAGATCTGCTGACTTTCTCTAGCAGTTTCTGTTTTCATCTGCTTAGGCTGAGGGATGAATTTTGGCTAAGACGCCAGAGAGAACTCTTCTTTGAAATAATGATTGTGAAATCTTGTATATCCACCTACGAGGGAAGATAGGGCTACACTCCCTCAGTACATAAGTGTCAAAGTGTCAGCCAAGATTTTAAATTTCTTTTAACTCTGAGGTAAGAATGCTATCCTGAATAACAGCTGACATTATGCATAAATGAAGGCTTTTACTGGTAGAAATATGGCAACTCAAATGAAAAACTAACAAATATTGAAGCCTTATTTATTTCACAAACTTACCAAAGATCAAGTTCAAGATCCGAAATTAATTTTCAAGTGAACAAACAGACAGAAACCAATAAAGCCTTTTTATACTTCTGGTACAAACCCTGCAGCACTCCCTCAAACTTCAACCACCACCTTCCACAACTCTTCAGCAGGACTCTGTAACTCATTTCCAAAATCTAATCACACTGAACGTGCCAAAAGTAATAAAAAGTGACATTAAAAAAATCAGGCTGCTAATAATCAGACTGTAAAATGTAACAGGAATGTTAGAACTGAGACCTATTTACAAAGCTGCTTCCTGAAGTAATTCTGCATTACCTTAGTTTCCTCTTTCTACAGAGCTCTCTGTATTTGAAATGCTGGACAGATTTCACAGCATCAAAACAAAAGAAAGCCAATGTATTTGTGCACAGTTTTACAGTTCAATGAAGTAAATGGCTTTGTTTCAGGTCAATACGTGAGTAAAGTCCGTGCAGATCTAGTCATCCGGAAACTTCAGGGTTAACCTGTGATTTTGGGGTCAGTCCTTAGCTCACCTGTGACCTCAGGATTTGGAATGTTTACTTTTATCATGGAGAACAGTGCTGCGTTCAAAGGCTCCAGAGCTGACCACCCTATTACACAGGAGTGAGCCACTCAATAGTTGCAGGGGTGCCTCGTAAACTATCAAAATTGGGACCATCATGAATGTGGAACACCAGAGATCTTGCTCATGAGAAAAGAATGTAACAAAGATGATTTTGTATTCAGAACCCAATAATATGCTGGGTCTGTAAGAGTGTCAACTGAGGGCTTTATTAACAATGATGCGTTGTATGTCAGAAATGGAAATATGAAGACTGGTGTAACAGCAACCTTTATAAGGAGGGTCAAGTGAAATAAGATAAACTTCCTACTTTGTATCCTTCACAAACTCTGTTCCACTGAGCGATAAGGGAAAATTAATCAATTACAATGAAATCAGTTTTTACATGACTACTTTCTCTATTTCAAACAATTACTCCACTGTCAACATTAATGGACTTTTCCATAAAAGGGAGCCAGTGGTGGACTAGAAATATACTTGCTCTTAAAGTGTTCCCAGTGTGCAGTCTCGTTTTCCTGCAACCATTTTTTTCAACCTGATTGTTCAACAAAGGAAAATTACTTCCTGACAGCAGATGCCATGGTGGGGAGAGAAAACATAAAACACTATTCTGTATATATTAGAGTAAAAATTACTTTGAAAAAAGAAAAGTACTTTCATTTCTCAAGTACTTTTCACAACCTAAGGACAGCCCCAAATACTTTATAGCCAATATGCGCTTTAAGTGTGCATACTGGCAATGTAGGAAAACAGCATTCAATTTATGCAAAAGTTCCTACCACAAAAATGTGAAAACAAGGCATATATCTGTTTGAGCCACATTGATTGCAGGATTAAAACTGGGAACTCAATGGCCCTGTGAGGCCTGAGGAAATATCATTTTAAAGGTTTATCCAAAGACAGTGCATCACTTCCTCAGTACTAAGCCTCTGACAATGCAGCACTCCCTCAGCACTGACCCTCCAACAGTGTGGCACTCCCTCAGTCCTGACCCTCCAACAATGCGGCACTCCCTCAGGACTAACCCTCCAACAATGCGGCACTGCCTCAGAACTGACCCTCCGACAGTGCGGCACTCCCTCAGTACTGACCCTCCAACAATGAAGCACTACCTCAGCACTGATCCTCCAACAGTGTGGCACTTCCTCAGTACTGACCCTCTGACAGGGTGGCACTTCCTCAGTACTGACCATGCGGCACTCCGTTAGTACTGACCCTCCAACAATGTGGCACTCCATCTGTAATGACCCTCTGACAGTGCAGCATTGCCTCAGGAGTGACCCTCCAGCAGCGCAGCATTCCCTCAGCAATGACCTTCCAAAACTGTGGTGCTTCCTCACTAGTAATCCTCCAACAGTGTGGTGCTCCATCAGCACCGAGCCTCTAACATTGCAGAGCACCCACAGTACTGACCACCAACAGTGTGGCACTCTCTCAGCACCAACCATATGGCACTCCTTTAGTACTGACCTGCCTAAAATGTGACACTCCCTTAATGCTGACCCTCTGAAAAGGTGACATTCCCTCAGGATTGATCCCCCAACAGTGTGGCACTCCCTCAATACTGGCCCTGCAACAGTGTAGCACTCCCTCATTACTGGCCATATTGTACTCCTTTAGTACTGACCCTCCAAAAATGTGGCCCTCCCTCAATAATGACCGTTTGACAGTGCGGCATTCCCTCAGGTGTAACCTTCCAACAGTGCAGCACTCCCTCAGTACTGACCCCCTGACAGTGTGGCATTCCCTCAGTAATGACCCTCAGAAAGTGCAACACTCCATCAGCACTGACCCTCCAATACTGCAACACTCCCTCCAATACTCCAACAGTATGGCACTCACTTAGTACTCATCCTCTGATAGTGCAGCACTCCCTCAATAATGACCATCTGACAGTGTGGCACTCATTCAGTATTGACCCTTCAACAGCACGACACTCCCTCAGCACTGACCCTTCGACAGTGCGGCATTCTCTCAGTACTGACCCGCCGACAGTGCCGCACTCCCTCAGCACTGATCCTCCGACAGTGCAGCACTCTCAATACTGATCCTCTGGCAGTGCAGCACTCCCTCAGTAATGATCGTCTGATATTGCAACACTCATTCAGTACTGACCCTCTGAAGGTGCGGCACTCCGTCAGCACTGACCCTCCAAACAGTGCAACACTACCTCAGCACTGACCCTCAGACAGTGCAGTACTCCCTCAGTGCTGACCCTCCAACAGTGCAAAATTCGCTCAGTACTGACTCTTGGTCAATGCAACACTCCATCAGTACTGATCCTCTGACAGTGCAGCACTCCCTCAGCAATGAGCATCTGACAATGTGACACACCTTCAGTACTGTCCCTCCAACAGTGCGATGCTTCCATAGTAATGACTGTTTGACAGTGCAGTGCTGACTTCGCATTGACTCTGACAATATGACGCTCTCTCATCTATTGCCTCTGCAACAGTTTTGTACTCCTTCAGTAATGACCCTCCAATAGCGTGGCATCCTCTCAATACTGACCACCTAACAATGCGGCACTTCCTTGGTACTGGTCCCCGAATATGCAGTGTTCGTTTGGTACTGACCCTCTGACAGTGAGGCACACGGATACTTCCAACATTGCAGCATTTACTCATGTGTTAGCAGTGGAGTGTCAGCCCATATTCTTGTGTTCAAACCATGGAATGGGAGTTGTATGCATTACCTTCAGACTGGGAGGTAACTGCACTTCTCACTGAGCCTGGGGCTTGTAGGGCTTGTTAGTGATGGTCACTCATGATAAAGCCTACGGTGTTACAGCTGCAGTATAGGCCCTCTGGAGTGGTGGTACAGCATGTTCCCTGTGTACTCCCAGTTCCCCAAAAGGTGAATCCATAATAATAATCAGTCCAGCATTGTTTCCCAGCTATACCAGTTGTAAAGATGGAATGTTTGACTCACATAGGTCAGGGCACTCCCAGTATGACACAATCAACAATCACTCATTTCAGCTTGCCTGGCAAATCAGAGATGCATTAGTATCAGAGCTAGGAAGGAGAGGAAACCACAGAATCCCTGCTCCTCAGCTGTCTCCAGTGACCCCTCCCTGCTGTGTTGACTTGAACGAATGTAAGATAAGGCTGCATGCCTGTCAAGACTCCCTGTTTAGGTTAACACAAAAGGAATATAAAGAACCTCAGCGCTTGTGCACCCAAGTAAAACTAAGAAAAAAAAGAAAAGTGAAAGCAAAAATAAGTATTTTTTCAAATCTACAGCACTAAAGTAAGTAAATAATCTAATGGGTGTAACTAATTTTCTTTTACCTGTTTTTAGGGAAAACTCGGGTTGCTTTTCAAAAACAATCAAGCCTGAAGAAAGAAAATTTGCCTTGTCAGAAAAAGGACAACTGACAGAGCAGTTCTTTGCCATTTAAACTGCTTATCGTGTCCACAAGAAGAATTACAAACAATAAGAAGTGCTGGATTCTCTGGTTATACAAATGAACACCACTATTCAATGTGCACACTAGGGGTTCCTTTGGAGTTGTGACAGCTCCAAATTGCAACTCAAGTGATTGAACAGATAAGGGCCTGCGTTTTAACCCCACAGCTATGTAATGTTACACCAGGAATCCCACCTACTTTATTCTGGAGACTGCACTCCCTAGTAGGAGGATTACAGACTGGACCATTTTCCTTGCTTACTGCTGAAGAATCCAGCTTGGAAGTAATCTGCAAGAAACTGGTTTGGACGGAGACAAAAAAAAATTTAAAGGACTGCTCCAGCTTTTAGAAAAGACAAAATTATGCAAGAAGCTGAAATCTTTTTGGTACCTTTTCTTGACTAGAAGGACAGTCTCACTGAGAGTCTGGAATGTGTACAACGGAATGTGTGGGGGATTTGCCTGTGTAAGTGGGTTATTGAGAAGCTACTGATGTGTGCCTGAACCGAAACACTGAACAGACCAGGAGAACCTTGCCAGCAGCTAGTTGATACATGCCATTCCAGCTAATTCTGGGCAATTCAGAAGATACATGAACTAAACCTCACAGCAAAGGAGGTAAGATTCAAGGCAAACTCAATGTGTTCACTAGGATTTCAGTAAACTGCAAGTGGGTGAGGGGATGCTACATTAAATTTCCAAAAGATATTCACTTAAAATATGGATAGAACACCAAGTTATAAATTTCACCCTCCTGAACTCTGGTTACATTGAAGGAAGCAATCTGAACTACATGTGAGCCAGATTGAAATATTGGCATTACAGGTCTGTCATATTAGTTGCAAGAACAATTTGAGATGATGAGTCAAAATTATCACACGTTAAGGCATAATTCATTTCCCCAGGGTGGAAAATTAATAATAATAATATTAAATTAGTCCTTCGACAAGACATTGTTTTTTCTGATTTCTGATCAGTTTGCACTTTGAGGTAGGTGACACTTTCAGGCTTGCCTTTTCCAGTCGGTTTTAAGGTTTGAGATTGGGAATAAAATTGTATTCAGAACTAGCATTAATAGGAATAAAAATGAATAATAAGGTGCTTTTACACTGGTTCTCTGCTCTTGCTGTTTGAGGACATAGAGGTTTCTGTACATTGCTCTCCCCTGTGACTTGTCAGTCAGATGCTGATTGTACTGGCCCCCACTATTAATGTGGAGGTGCAACTATAATTAGATTGTCAAGGGACTGGCTTCCCACGTTTATTATACAGCAACCAACAGATTTCATCAAAAAGCAGTTTCATAATCGCACATTTTTATGATGTTACCATCATATTGTTTATATTAAAATTGCAGCAAATGGTTTCATAACAGCTGATAGCCACATTTGGCAAAAATCTGCAATGAAAAAGTGATCTATTAAGTAATATTTAATTATTCCAAAGTTATTGCTGGAGGCACTTGAAAAATGCTGCAATAAAATTTTTGCACGGTAAATTCAGAATCAGATCTTTAAACAAGTAAATATTCATTATTCCTTCTTTTCAACATAAATAAAACGCATTAGTTTTTTAATCAAAATACCTTTATGTTGTCAAACTGGGAAAATCTCTTCATATTTTTCAGAAATGTATGATTTTTCTGGGGTTTCAGTTTTGCTGAAACAGAACATATTCTTCGGTGAGGAAAGGTATGGGAGTTCCTGCATCAGGTTTACAAGTTATAGATGCTGCAAGCTTGAAAGTAAAGCCATCAAAACACTTGTGCAACACAGTTAAGTTTTAGAATGGCCAACATTTTATGCTGTAGAATGGTGACATAAAGCCTAATTGTAAATATAACCCTCTCTGGGCTGGATTAGTGATCTCAAAAAAAGCTAAGAAATGTACTCGGGTGGGGCCAGTATACTGGAACTCCAATGTGCTATGTAAATAGAACACTTGAAGCTTTTCAGAACAATATACCGGGTTACACTCCTTATCTTATCGCAATATCTTTATACCTTGAGGCAGAAAAGGAAGGTTCCACATCTTAACTGCACTTTCTAAAACAGTAAACGGCTCTGATAGTTTTACTGTACTTCACCACTGTCAAAAAATCTCAATTTAATTAGAAATATATTGATTTTGCACTATTGTCTCAATGCACAGAAATTGGAAGGTTTGCAATGGGGGAACGAGAGCGAGATTGAACATTTTTGTAATTAATCAAATTATTTAAGTTGTTTTTTTTAAAAAATAATTACCAAATGAATGAATACAGAAATCACCCTGGAGCACACATTCTACATAAAGTTACAGTAATGTCATCGTCGTACAATATCAGGACCCTAAGGTCAGCATGAATCTTGCTGGAACTTTAAATTAAATGTTCCACAGAGTTCCAGAACCCAGATTTGTACACAGATATCTCACACAAGTGAACTCCCAATTTTATCAATGTCATTTTAGTAGATGGTTACAAGTTTTCTCACGGGGAGGGAGGAAAGATCAGGGGGACAATCATCCCTGGATTGTCCAGTGATACTTCCCAGCACTGGTTCAAAGGTATCTTTGTAGAAGCCTGGGAAGAGATCAGCCATTAAGCTGCTCAACCTGGGAAAAGTTGTCTTAAGAAAAATTAAGTGAATGAGGAGTGCGAAATTAAATGACAAATGGAAGAATAATTTTCTGTCAAAAAGGAATAAAATGAAATTCTGCTAATTAGTGAAGGATCAAAGATGATTTTACACTTGAAGTACTGTATGAAATCATTCTAAATGCTTTAATTTTATTTTGTGTGATTAGATATGTAACATCCATTCTCCTATCTAAAGTATTTCAAAACTTTTTAAACACTTGCAATAGTTTTAAATCTTCACTATAGTTAGTGTTCTTTGAAGCTTTTACTGACTGACATTTTGGGAGCCAAAGAAAGAGTCTTACTGCATTTTCCATCATAACATTTAATTGACTGTGGCACCGAAATCCCTTTTTTTACTTTTAAGACCCAAAGGGTGAAACATTAGCTGTGTGCTCAAACTAAATGTCACATTCTACTGATAAAGGTTACACAGATCTGAACTTTGTCAGTATGGTTTTTTCAGGCAATAATTTTGGCATTATTTAGGGTCCTGGCAATCTTTGGCCTGCCTGTATAATTTTCAATATAATAGTTTTGTCTGTATAGAATAATCTGTGCTATTGATGGGAATCTATCATGCCATGGCAAATGAAGTTCAATATTTCAAAACCAGTAGATTATGGTTGGAGTTTTAAACAACAACCACATTTATTTAAATTTTATTTAAATACCTTTAATATAATGAAACTTCCCAAGATGCTTCACAGGAACATTTTAAAATTAAGTTTGCACTGAGCCACATAGGGAGATATTAGATCCAATGGTCAAACATTTAGTCATAAAGGTGGGATTTTAGGATCATCTTAAAGGAGGAAAGTGAGGTACAAGGGCAGAGAAGTGTAGAGAGGGAATTCCAGAGTTTAGGGTTTGGGCAACTCAAGGTTTGGCCACAAATAGCAGAACACTTATAATTGGGAAAGTGCAAGAAGCCAGTATTAGAGAAGCACAGGTATCTCAGAGAGTTGTGGGTTGTACATTACAGAGGTAGGGGCAAAACCATAGAGGCATCTAAAAATGAGAATTTTGAAATAAAGACATTACTTGACTGAGAGACAGAGGAAGTTAGTGAGCAACGCAGTGACAGAGGTGTGGCACTGGATGAGAGTTAAGACAGCAACCAGCAAATTTTTGAATGGCCTCAGATTTAAAGACGTTATATGTGGGAGACCAGGCAGGAGTGAGTTGCAATAGTCAAGTCGAGAGGTAACAAAGGCTGGATAAGGATTTCAGCAGCAGTTGACCTAATTCAGGGGCAAAGTCAGGGCAATGCTAGAGAGATTGAAATGAACGGTATTAGTGATGGCAGAAACATGAGGTTGAAGATACATCTTGAAATCCGATGTGACACTAAGGTTGCAAATAGTCTAACTTGAACTCAGACTGTTGGCAGAAGGACTGAATTGGTAACTAAGGATCGGAATTTGAAGCTGGGATTGAAAACAAAGTTTAATGGGAGAAAATTTCTGCTCATTCATGAATGAATGTCGGATAAGCAATAAGTTAAACAAATGTTTAGTTAAATTTATCAAGATAAAAGATGTAGAGAAGGCCTACTGGTGTTATCGCTGGACTGTTAATCCAGAAACCCAGGTAATGTTCTGGGAGCCTGGGTTTGAATCCCACCACAGCAGGCAGTGGAATTTGAATCAATAAAAATCTGGAATTAAGAGTCTAATGATAACCATTGTCATAAAAACCCATGTGGTTCACTAATATTGTTTAGGGAGAGAAACTGCCATCCTTGCCTGTGATGCATATGACTCCAAATCCACAGCAATGTGGTTGACTCTAAACTGTCCTCTGGGCAATTAGAGATGGACAACAAATGCTGGTCCAGTTCATTTATGCGATGCCCTCATTACATGAATGAACTAAAAAAAAGAAAATCGACTTACAGTTTTACTATTAATCTGTTCCTGACAACGCAGCATTTCTGAGGGTCACCGGACCTGAAACGTTAACTCTTTTTTTTCTTCACAAATGCTGGCAGACCTGCTGATCTTTTCCAGCAACTTTGTTTTTGTTCCTGATTTACAGAATCTGCAGTTTGTTCGGTTTTTATAAGGCAGCATTTCTGATCCATCTCAAACTGTTCTTCACAGCCAATTAATTACTTCTTGAAATAAAGCATGTAATTGTTACGCTGGCACACTTGGCAGCCAATTTGCACACAGCACAAACCCACAAACAAGTTGAATAACCAGTTAATCTGTTCCATTGTTGTCAGTTGCACAATGAATGTTATCCAGAAGATCTTTAAAATAAAATTTCCTGCTCTCCTTCACATGCACTTAAGCAGACAGATAAGGGCCGGAAAAACTGTTTGTTTCCTCTCCACCTATCCTCTCCTCTATCCCTCTTCTATCCGCCTCCCACTCTCTCCCTATTTATTTCAAAACCCCCTTCCCCTCCCCCTTTTCTGATGAAGGGTCTAGGCCCGAAACGTCAGCCTCTCTGCTCCTATGATGCTGCTTGGCCTGCTGTGTTCATCCAGCCCTGCACCTTGTTGTCTCGGATTCTCCAGCATCTGCAGTTCCTACTATCTCAGATAAGGGCCTTACCTTCTTTCTCATCTGCTAAAAATGTGGCCCACAGTACGTATACAAACTTGAGTGAGACTTGAATCTAGAACTTTCAGGGTAAGACTGCAATCGCCAGAAGCAAACTGCCATGAGAAGGGGAGAGACTGAGAAAGAGGGAGATTGCAAATGTAGTTGCTGACTGGTTTCATTGCTATTAGAGAATATACTTTAGGCACATATACATTTTCACTTGTGGAGACTTTTCCCAGACGTTAAATATCCTATTGCAGACTGTCTAGATTGATCTTCATATTACGGAAGATGATGAATTACATCACGCAAAATCATTGTGTTCTGCCAGTCCTGAAATATTTTGTGTGGTGAGCAGATATTTTATAATTTTGAGTTATAAATCAATAATTGAAAAGGTAACATGAGTAGATATCTGAATTAAAAGAATGCACATGAATTAATGGAATTTTATACGCTTCAACATTACCTGAATCTTTCAGTGAATCCCGCCTTGTAATCCACTCCTACTTATCAGACATCCACGTCATTCTTATAGACTGCAACATCAAACCTCCAGTTTCAATTTTAAATAAACACAATTGTAGAAACTCTGTTATCAAGGCTTGAAGGCTTCAGACACTGCCATAACTTGAAATGGACTTTAAAAGGGAATGGAGATCCTCAGTCTGCCGGAAAAGAGACAGTCAGCCTTAGTCAGCTGGTTGTTCAGTTGGTGTTCAATTTAATCTCCAGAATTAATTGGAAAACTACAAACTGTTTAAACTTCCAACAGATCTTTTTGCTTTCCAATAGAATTTCCTGAAACCTACTGACCCAGTAACATACTGCTGTAAAGTTGTCCAGCACATTCATCTGAAATTTCCGCCTTTTCTAATTTAGCAAAAATGATGCTATTGGGCCAAAGCCTGCTCTGAAATAATGAGGAGAATAATTTTAACAAGACATAAAGCATTTACACAATATTATCCCTCGACATAATTTTAGTACCATTAGTGTTAATGATCAAATTACACGAGTAAAATTGCTTTTTAGTAACAAATATAAAGAATGCAAAAGAAGATTCAAGAGGTCTAAGAAATGTCACTCACTATTTCAGTTCTTATGGTTTGGGGAGGAGGAAAGTTTTATTTTACAATATTTAACTCAGCCACAAACCATTTATTTATGTGACAGAAAATGCATCACTAAACTATAAAAGAAACTCCATTCACAGAGTACCAGTATGACTAAGTGAGAACATATGCACTTTTGTCTAACTAAGTTAGCAGGCAGCCAGTCTAGCAGTGCCTACCACAACAAAAACCTGATACTCTGAAACAACTGTAATAACAACTTACAATGGCAGGGGTCTTGATCTGACGAGGCTCATCATGTGGCCTTCTCAGCACTGGCACATTATTCAGTTTGTGGATCCCCTCCCTTCCTGCTACCGCACCACCCACACAAACAACCCTCACTCCCAACCTTTCCAATGCACATCCCTAACATCAGAAGTTACAAAGGAAAAGCAGTGACACAGAAAATGGATAATTTTCGTTCTGTCTGTCTGTTCCCAAGTGAATCTCAGGAAATATAAATTGCAAATTATTCATATGCCTTTTGTTTTAAGTAGCATTACGTCATCAAAAATATGAAGGAAAAATAAATTCTTCTGGAAAAAATATCAAAAACCCTCATAGTGAAATAAGGTTAGCTGGCACCCAGACTCAAGAGCAGGCCATTCAGTCTTATAACAGACAACAGTGATATAGATCTGGATGAAAGGAGTTTCTGGAAGACCAGGTTTTTGTTCATATATTTATTAAGAGAGTGAGAAGCCCACAACTCTTCCATTTTCTCAACAATCGCCTCCCCAGTTGAAATGAAGAAAGCTTGGCTCAAGTCTGTGAACAATTTTGCTGGAGAAAAATCAAGGCTGGTCACAAGTTACAACGAAGAGCAAGAAATAATTCTCAGAGGAATTTTGTTTCATTCCACCCAATCTATCTTAAAGAGGTATATATACTTTTTAACTATCAGTACAGAGAGTTTGATATTTTCAGATTAAACAAATTACAAACAGAACTCAATGAATCACAATTTATAGGATATGGGAAAAATATAGATCATCTAAGCAGAATTATACTAATTTATAAATGTGCCTCATGAGTTAAACAACTGACTTAGCATAATCTTTCATGTTGCTGAGAGGAACAACAGATGTATTCTGCAATGACATGATATGTCTGGAATAATATAAACACAAAAAAAAAGATGTACGAAATAAAATATTATAACTCATGCTGACACTCCAAAGTAGCATTGAGGGAGTGCTGCACAGTCAGGGATATAATTCTTCACTGTCTGCCTCGTCTAGTGCATGTTAAACGCCCTGAAGAAGATAAGGCAGTATCCCCCTTCCCTTTGTCCTTTTAATCAACAACACAAAGAGCAGAGGATCTTTCCATTTTGGGGACCCTGCACATTTAGAATGCTGTTATATTCCCCTACAGTGAAAAAAACAGTAATTGCACCACAAAAAGGGAGGTATTTGCATGTGAAGCTAGGGATAGTTCTCAGATTTGTGGCAAATCCATATATATAAATACAAGGTCTTCCTTTATTTGCTATCTTACATTTATGATGACAGATCTCCAAGGGTGTTGCTTGCCAATCTAAACTGAACAGATAATTTAGCAAATAGAAAACATACAGTACCTCACCTACTGAAGCTAGAAACATACACTTGCATTTCTCTTGTACCTTAATACTTGTCAAAGCATTTCACAAATTAGTTACGATTTAAATGTTAATTTTAGTTATGTTGTCATGGCACAGCAAGAAAGATCTAAAACATGGCTGATCCTTACAATATACAATCTGAGGTTGGAGCTTGTAACAGCTATTTGTTTCTCATTATCTGACAGAAGTACATGATCTCCATAGTGTCAGCTGCAACTCAGTAGGCAGAACTATCACCTGAATCAGAAGGTCATGGGTTCAAGTCTGGAGGGCATATAATGGAAACTGATACATCACTGTAATACTGAGGGAACCCTGCACAACTGGATGTGCTGTCTTTCGGATGAGGCATTAAAACAAGGCACCATCTGTTTTTCCAGGTGGAAGTAAAACATTCCCACGGCTACTATTCGAAGGTGAGTAGGGGAAATACAGCTTATTTTTCAGCTTATCCTTCAACCAAACCAAAATCAAAATATCTGATTATTATTCTATTGCTGTTCATAAAGTCCTGCTCTGTGAAAACTGGCTGTCACATTTCCTACATAACAGTGATGATGATATTTCAAACGTAACTTCATTGGCTGTAAAGCATTCTGCAACTTACTGAAGTCATAAGAGTTACAAAAAGACACAAGTCATAGTGTCATAGAGGTCTACAGCACAGAAAAAAGTCCTTCAGCCCATTCAGTCTGCTCCGGTCAAAAACAAGCACCTAACTATTCTAATCCCATTTTCCTACAGTTGGCCCACAGCCTTGGACGCCTTGGCATCACAAGTGTATATCTAAATGTTTCATAAATATTATGAGGGTTTCTGCCCCTACTACCCTCTGGGTGAAATGATTTTTCCACACGTCTCCTCTAAACTTCCTGCTTCTAACCTCAAATCTCTGCCCTGGTCATTGATCCCTCCACCAAGTTTCTTCCCATCTAACCTTGTCCATGCCCCTCATAATTTTATATATCTCAAACATGCCTGCCTCAGTTTCTTCTGTTTTAAGGAAAATAACCCCAGTGTAAATAATTTCTCTTTATAACTAAAACTCTCCAGCACAGGCAACATCCTGTTAAATCTCCTCCGCACCCTCCCCAGTGCAAACACATCCCTTCTACAATGTAGATTTCAGAAATGCATGCAACACTCTATGTGGTGCCTAAACAGTGTTTCATATAGTTCCAGCATCACCTCCCTGCTCTAAACTCTATGCCTCATCTAATAAAAGAAATTATTCAATATGCCTTCTTAACCACTTGGTCTACCCACTGCCCCACCACCTTAAGAGATCAGTGGACATGCACACCACGGTCCTTCTGAACCTTGGTGCTTCCCAGGATCCTACTGGTCATCTTGTATTCCCTTGCCTTGTTTGTCCTGCCCAAGTCTTTAATGTTTTTTGCAAACATATACACAGATTTGTTTAAGTCACTTTATCGATGGAGACTCGAATGTAAAAATTATTCTGATACAGAGAAACAAATTAAAACTTTAAATAAAAATGAAATTGGGTGAAATGAGATCAAAACTAATTAAGTCTCCTAACATGACTGTCAGAACTGTCAGGATTTGGTCACATGATAATAAATGATTATGAATTATATCAGGAAGGCTTACTTTAACATAATTAGGAAGCTGGATGTGCTTAAATACTATTCAGCACAATTGATAAATCAAACAACTTAATTGAAATAGAGATAAAAATAACACTGTAAATCAAATTACAGGCTGAATTTTACTGGAAGTAGGCAAAGTATCTATTTTGGTGAGTTTCATGGAGGGTTTCTCTCTGTGAGGCCTAGAAAGATCCCTCACACTATCCTCCCCAACTTACCTCAGTAGCTATGCACCACACCCCAATGATACTCCAATTATCATATCATCCTACTTGCCACATGAGTCACTACTCACCGCTGCCAGAACCTCCCGAGATTCCAGGCACCAACTGTAAATTTAAAACGTAGCGAATAACCAAGTCAAGGACTGTCAGGCCGTAGCTCCCCAGATGGCTTATGTCAATTCCTCCAGATATATGAGACAAAGGGAAATTGGCACCTGGCTTTGCCAGTAGGGACCTGAAGGTGTTGGTGGATGGGGTGGTGCAAAGAAAAGACATTCTCTTCCCTCAGCACCAGCAGGGGGTGCGCTGGCAGCCTGGTCTGAGATTGCCAACCAAGGTCAGCGTGTTACCCACAGACCATAAGAACATCCAGCAACATCCGCTCTGTAAATGTAAGTGCTACCATCTTTTCTCTGCTTCCTCAAATTTGCTCTGTCTCTGCTTTTGTACCCACCTTCCACCAAGGCTCATGTCTACCATTATCACTATCATGGCATCTTCCCTCACTCACTCTCACTCACAATCCCTTCACCCTACTAACTTTTCATGCCACATGAATAGGAAACTGCATATAAATGAGGCAAGATACATGTTAACACATGTAAATACGCCTCTCACCACTTACTAGCTAATATCATGTTTCATCATTCAACTTGGTTGGAAAATTGGAATTTTTCCCTACCGTTAGCAGGATCCTCCTCACTGCTGATCTCACATGACTTTCCCAACTTTCTTGCCAAGGTTTACATTGTTCAGTGCCTGGGAAGATTCTATCCATAATTCTTCAATTAGCAAAGCGTACATTTTGAATAGGCTCGCTTTGGTGAATAGTCAGTTCGATGAAAGGGAGAGGAAATGTTCTTTCTTCTCCTTTTTTTAATCCACTTTCTTCATCTTCCAGTGTTTGGTTCTTACTTTGATGCAGCAGCAGGAGTTGATTGGTGAGTAACTGGTAAACTGTTCTATTTACAAGAAATACTTTATAATATTAAATTATGATAGAGCTTCTCAGCTGAGTGAAATGTAAAGTCTGTGGTATGTGCAAAATCACGGACATGCCATGTGTCTTTGACAAACACAACTGCAAGAAGGGTCAGCAGCTGCACAAGCTAAGTTCTCGGCTTTGGAATTTAAGTGTTGGATACAGTCACTGTGGTGTATCCATGAGGCAGAGAACTCATGGATAGCATGTTTAGGGAGGTGGTCACACCGCAGATTAGGAATGTCCAGGCAGATAAAAGTCATATATAACCGACAGGCAATCTAAGGAAATCAGGCAGGTCATGCCCTGAGATGGTCTCTTCTTCTCATCACTTTTCTATTCTAGTCACTGGTGAGTGTTTTGGCCCCTCAGAGGAGTGCAGTCAAAGCCAAATCAAAAGTAAAAAGATATTGACCTCGCACTAGGAAGAAACTTAAAGGCAGACTGTTAAAGCTTACTTATGTATGTGAAAAGGAAAAGATTTGAAAGGACATATGTAGGCCCATTACAGGTAGAGACAAAATTTGAATTGGAGAACAGGGAATAGCAGAAAAGTTAAACAATTACTTTGTGTCTTTACAAACAAAAACATAGAAAATCTCCCAGAAACATGAGACAACTAAGGGACTTGTGAAACTGAGGAACTGAAATAATAGACATAGTTGTTAGGATTAACTGAATGGAAGGTTGACAAATCCCCTGGACCAGATAGGCTCCATCCAAATATTTTGAAGGAGGTGGTTATAGAAATACTGTATGCATTGGTAGTTACTTTTCAAAATTGTATAGATTCTAGGGAAAGTAGCAAATGCAATCACACTATTTAAGAAGGGAAGGGGAGGCAAAATGGAGAACTACAGTTCCGTTAGTTTGAAGGCAGTAAAATGGAAATGTTAGAATCTATTATAAAGAATGTAGTAACTGGAATTTAGAAAATAATGGTAAAATTTGGCAGCATCAACATGGATTTATGAAAGGGAAATCATGTTTGACAAACTTGAAGTTTTTTGAGCATCTCACTTGTAACATTGATGAAGAGAACCAGTGGATGTGGTGTATTTAGATTTTAAGAAGGCTTTTGATAAAGTCCCACACAGGAGGTTAGTAAATAGATGGTGGCAGGAGATGGTAGTGTAATGTCACTATACTGGTAATCCAGAGGCCCAAGCTAATGCCCTGTGAGTGTAAGGTCAAGGTTCACTATGGTAGTTGGTGGAATTTAAATGTTCAATTGTTAAAACTGGAATATAAAAGTGTCAGTGACGACAATCATGAAACTATCATCGACTGTCATTAGAACACATCTGGTATACTGCCCCTTCTTTTGGGAAGGAAATTTAAGAACTGGTTATTAGAATGCATAAGGCAGAGATAAGGAGTAAATGGATCATTGCCAGGATGGCAAGCTGTTACTAGTAAAGTACCGCGAGGTTAGGTGCCTGGGCCAGAACTGTTCACAATAATATAAATAATTTGGATGTGGGGACCAAATACAACAATTGTTGGGAATAAAAGTTGTCAGAAAGCTGCAAGGAGACTTCACGCAGAACATGGAAGATAGGATATAGAGTCATACAGTCATATAGTCATATAGCACGGAAACAAACCCTTCAGTCCAACCAGTCCATACTGAATTTAGTCCCAAACTAAACTATTCCCACCTGCCTACTACTGGCCTACATCCCTCCACACCTTTCCTATTCCTGTCTCCATCCAAATGGATTTCAAACATTGTAATTGTACCCGCATCCAACGCTTCCTCAGGAAGGTCACTCCACATGCAAACCAACCTCTGTACAAAAAAATTGCCTCTTATGTCTTTTTTAAATCTCTCTCTTCTCACCTTAAGAATGTGCCCCCTAGTCTTGAAATTTCCCACCTTAGGGCAAAGATAACTACCATCAACTCTATCCATACCTCTCATTATTTTATAAACTTTTATCAGGTCACCTCTCAACTTCCTATGCTCCAGTAAAGAAAGCCCCAGCCTATCCAGCCTTTCTTTGTAATTCAAACCTTCAATACCCAGCCACATCCTGGTAAAAACCAAAACAACTGCAGGTGTTCTAAATCAGGAATAAAAACAGAACAGTTCTGAGGGAGGATCACCGGACCCGAAACATTAACTCTGATTTTTATTTCACAGATGCTGCCAGACCTGCTGAGCTTTTCCAGCAACTTCTGTTTTTGTAACATCCTAGTAAATCTCTTCTGAACCCTCTCCAGCTTGATAATATCCTTCCTATAACTGGGTGACCAGAACTGGACACAGTATTCCAGAAGAAGCTTCACCAATGTCCTGTACAACGTCAACATAACATCCCAACTCCTATACTCAATGGACTGAGCAATGAAGGCAAGCGTGCCAAACGTCTTTTTAACCATCCTATCTATATATTATGCAAACTTTAAAGAATTATGTACCTGCACCCCTAGGTCCCTCTGTTCTACAACACTGCCCAAGGCCCTACCATAATTCTATAAGCCCTACCCTTACTTGTTGTACTAAAAAGCAATACATCGCATTTATCCAAATTGAACTCCATCTGCCATTTTTCAGCCCATTGACCCATTTGATCAAGATCCTTTTGGTTTTCTAATATTACTTCTCACTGTCTACTATGCCACCAATTTTGGTGTCATCCGCAAACTTACTAACCATGCCTTCTATATTCTCATCCAAACCCTTTCTATAAATGACAAACAAAAGAGGACCCAGCACCAATCCCTGTGGAGCACTGCTGGTCACAGGCCTCCAGTCTGAAAAGCAACCTTCCACCATCACTCTCTGTCTCCTGCCTTTAAGCCAATTTTATATCCAATTGGCAGACTCAACTTGAATCCCATGCAACCTGACTTTACTAATTAGTCTACTGTGTGGAACCTTGTCAAAGACTTTACTAAAATTTAAATAAACAATGTCTACTGCTCTGACATCATTAACCTTTTTGGTAACTTCCCCAAAAAACTCAACCAAATTTGTGAGACATTATTTTCCTCACACAAAACCATGCTAACTATTCCTACTCAATTTTTGCCTCTCTAGCTGTTCATAATTCCTATCTATCTTTAATAATCACCTCCAACAATTTACCTGCGACTGAAGTCAGACTCACAGGTTCATAGTTGCCTGGTTTCTCCTTACAGCCTTGCTTAAACAAAGATTCAGCATTAGCCACCCTTCAGTCATCAGGCACCTCACCCATAGTTATAGATGATGCAATTATTTCTGCAAGGGATCTTGTTATTTCCTCCCTTACTTCCCACAACATTCTGGGATACATTAGATCAGGTCCTGGAGATTCTCGAAGATCTCCCGAACTTCCTCTTCTGTAATGTGAACTATTTTTAAAACATCAAAGTTTATTTCTCTTGCATTCTCTAGACTCCATTTCCTTCTCCACAGTAAAAACTAACGCCAAATATTCATTTAGTATCTCTCCCATCTCCTGACATTGACCTTTAAGGAGCCCTATTCTCTTGCTAGTTTTTTTTTGCTCGTAAAGTATTTGTAGAAACTATTTGGATTATCCTTAACCCTATCTGCCAACGCTATCTCATATCCCCTCTTTGCCTTCCTGATTTCCCTCTTAAAAATGCCTTACACTCTTTATATTGATTAAGGGATTCAATTAAATCAATCGAATTCAATTTTCCAAGCTGTCTACATCTAAAATAAGATTATCTTTTATTCTTGACTAGAACCTCAATGTCTTTATTCATCCATTGTTCCTTAATCTTACCAGTCTTATCCTCTACTCTAACAGGAACAAAATGCCTCTGAATCTAGTCATCGCACTCTTGAATGCCTCCCACTTGTCAGATGTCCTTTTACCTGCAAACCCTCTAATCCAATCAACTTTTGAAAGTTTTTGTCTCATACCATTAAAATTTGCCTTACTCCAATTAAAAACTTTAACTTTTATGGAAGGCTTATACTTTTCCATAACCATTTTGAAACTAATAGAATTATGATCGCTAGATCCAAAGTGTTCCCCCACTTTTACTTCAGTCACCTGCCCTGCCTTATTGCCCAAAAGAAGGTCTAGTTTTGTTCCTTCTCTAGTAAGAACATCCACAGAACATAGAACAGAACAGCACAGTACAGGCCCTTCAGCCCACGATGTGGTGTCGACCTATTATCCTACTCTAAGATCAAACTACCCTGCATACCATACATTTTACTATTATCCATGTGCCTATCCAAGAGTCACTTAAATGTCCCTAAATTATCTGACTCCACTACCACCGCTGGAAGCACATTCCACTACTCTCTGTATAAAGAACCTACCTCTCTGACATCTCCCCTTTACCTTCCTCCAATCACCTTAAAATTATTCCCCCTCATCATTATCATTTCCGCCCTGGGAAAAAGTCTCTGGCTATCTACTCTATCTATGCCTCTCATCATCTTGTACACTATCTATGCCTCTCATCATCTTGTACATGTTGATAAAGAAAATTTTCTTGAAAACATTTGACAAATTCTTCACCATCCAAACCATTGAAATCCCCGATTATTACAATCTTATTATGCTTACATATTATCTGAGATCTCCCTACATATTTGTTTCTCAATTTTTCTCTTACTATTAAGGGGCCTCTCATACATTCCCATCAAAGTGATCTTTCCTTTCTTATTTGTAATTTTTACCTGCATATTTTCATCGGACAATTTTTCAGAAATATCTTTCCTTGTTACAGCAGCAATGTATTCCTTAATCAAAAGCACCACAACCTCACCTCGTTTCTTGCCCCCTTTTCCATCATTCCTATAGCATCTAAAACCCAGACCATTGAGCTGCCACTCTTGTCCATCTCTCAGCTAAATTTCTGTAATAGCTATGATGTCCCAATCCCAAGTTCTTAAAGATGCCCTGAGCTCATCAGCCTTACCTGTAAGACCTTTTGCATTGAAATAAACGCAATTTAGTTCTTCAGAGTTACTACATACTCCGACTCTCTGTCTTTCT